CCCTACCTGCAATCTAAAATGTGTTAGGAAAAAAAAAAAAAAACTAAGCGCATCTGCACTTAAGGTTGTGTGAAATCGCCGTTCAAAACGTAAGGTTTCCGATCTGTATAAGCCCTGCTGAAATGCGAGTTCGCTTTCTTTACTCAGAGCTTGGATAGCTCGTATCTTGTTGCTTCGCTATGTGTTTCAACGTTTCAAAATGTGATAAGTGTATTTAGAATTCAGGGGTGCTTGTGTCGCGTCCGTTGTGATATGTGAAAAGGAGAAAATATGCCCTGACAAATTATTCTTCAAGAAGAAAACGTTATGTGTATTGTTATCTACAAAGTATTCAACGTTTGTAAGTTTCACTTTCGTCTGCACAATTAAGCCAGGCACTATCTTAAAACCGTCATCTGCGATTACAATTTTTGTGTCATCTCTCCCGCATTCTTAAACCATTACAAATAATGTGTGCTTGTGTGTATGTTTGTGCGCTTAATAATTTAAACGTTGGGGGAAACGTAGCTACATAAAGAAGTAGTGGACCAATCTAATATTTGTTTATTTTCATTGAGAACTGCTTCTAAGCCAACCTAGATAAATTGGCGTTGAACTTTTATTTTTGAAATGTATTTGAAAAAACACGGAGTAGCATACATTATCAGGTTAGCACCAACAGAACGGGAAAGAAAAATGCGACGTGTTCAAAATGAAGTCGACGTTCAGAATGGTACAAATTTTGTATATATATAAATAATTTTTGATAAATTATATCTACATCTAGTATCTCATGTATAATGCAACATGAAAGGTTTTAAGAAAGGAAGCCTCACCGGCAAAATAAGGTTATGTCGGCAAGACCATTTAGCATTGAGGTAAATGGGAATCTCGCCAATCGCCAAGCTAGCGTTGGATTTGACAACTAATTTTTTTCACCAAATTTGACGAGAAACAGCCAAACGTCGCCAGATTTGGCCACCATTTGGCTACATTTTGGTCCAGTCTGTGTATCTATATAACTGTTACTGTAATTCCCTATATGACTATAATTGGTACTGTAATTGAATAATTGTAGTTGATCCCTATGTTTAAATGTAACCGTATCCGTCATCTCCGAAAAAAGACACTTCAATGATTTCTTTCTTAATCAACTGCTCTCAAACCACGGAGCCTTCCCTAGCTACTTCAACAGATTTAAACTCAAGATGCCACCTAGCCGCTGTACATTTGGACAAGTAGCAGTGGATGCACTACACATGATTCTTCAATGTCCGAGTTTGGACAGAAAAAGAAAAGAACTTTTTCCTCACTCTTTGAATCTCGACCTATTATGTAAATTAATTTTAATTGATAAAGGTCGCCAACTGCTTTCCAAATTTATGGAATTCTTGTACTCTAATGAGAACACAATCTATGTATAACATAAAATAATTGTGGCTTGAAAATGTAACTCTCATATCCTGATTTTCCATCATATGCTTAATTTTTGGTATTTCATTTTCTGTCAGAATTGTAACAAAACTCTTGCTATCTATCAATATTGTTCTTGTACACTGATTATGTATTACCTATAATTTTATTGTCAAAATATGATTGATCACTGTATATATTTAAATTTTTGTAAACTAAAGATGTTGGCGAGGTCAATACATCTTTCAGTTAGCGGACCTCAAAATTTGCTAGGACTTAAATTATTTCAAATAACTGATTTTTAATAAATTTAAATTAAATTTTCTTTAGCCTAGCTTTGGCTGATTAGCTAATATTCTTAGCATATGGCTCCGGTGATACCTCAACACTGAGGTGCGGACTGGATATTCCATTCTTATGTTATATCAAAATATCAATTATAGTAATTAATAATGTAATCTTCAACAAAAGTGAGTTTAATTTTCATTATTTTTTAATTCCAGAATTTTATTGCTGTACTATGTAGAAATGTTTTAGGAAATCTCAAAAATGCACTTGAAAGAAATCAGTCCAGGCAGTGAGCGGTTTGTTTGAGTTGATTCCAGCAATCCCACTCCTTTTTCATTTATTTCTGCTTCCCCCCCCCATCTTTGCACACCGCTCTTGATCCATGCTTTTCCAAACGCATTCATCAAGGTATAGTCAAGGTCATCAAGGTTAGTGGGCTGTGAATCGGTAAGTTAGCGAACGGTTCCAATCTGTTCCCTTAAGGGAAGCGGTTTTGACCATCTCTAGTGTCAAGCAGAGTCGAGGGGCACTTAGAGGCAAAGAAGGAGATAAAAGAAGGTACCTCCTAAAGTTCCAACTTCCGCTGGATGCGCCGCTGATTAACTTGCAGGATTGATTTGCAAGTTTTTTTCCGGCTGTCTAAGTTAGTTGCTATAGAGCGCTGAAAGTAGAAGAATGCATGGGTGAGACTGTCAGTCAGGATTCCAGATATTGAGAGGGCACGACTACCTTGTCATGTGATATGTGAAGCAGTCGTTGATACGTTGCGAGATTCCAGATTAGAAAATCTGAAGAAAACATTAAATATTACATAAAAGGAAATTTTTCTATTACTCATCAAAGTAACATCTTATGGAATTAACCAAATTTCATCTCTTAATACAATCTATAGCAGTCCTGTAAGTTGAAATTCGCAGTGCATGACAACGTAATGGGGCTGATGTAAACAGAATCATGTTTTCATTATTACATTCGAAGATGTATCAGTAAAGCAAATATGCAATTAATTTTAGTAAGAGTTAACAAAATAACAGAATAAATGCAGAACAAATATTAACAAAAAATACCCATATACAACTTCAAGGTGTGTATCCCAGAGCATACTTAGAATAAGCAGTCACATATCACGTGAGCGGAATCAAGCATTCTGATTCACTTAGCGTATACTTGTCCAAAACTGATGAAAAGAATAAAATAATAGGCTGCGATAGCGAAAAATCACTATTTTTCCCATGTTCTTCAAATACGATAAATATAAGGAACATTAGAAATTTCAGTCCTAAAAATGCAGGAAGTCCTAGAACAAGGCTGAACATAGAACTCGAGTTCTTTACTCATGTGGGGAGGTCACCCTCCCAGGTGCTGACTTTTAGAAATGCTTCTTGAGTATTGAGGAAACGCAATATTCTAGGGTAAAGTAAAAAGGAGAAAATAAGGGTAAAATCACTATGTAGAGATCAAAATGTCCACTAACTTGGTATTAGGTGGGGGAAATTTTCGTTTCCACTAAGTATGTATGCTGGGAAAGGTCGAAGAAATCTATCGTTGGTGAGAACTTTATAGTGAAACATGTTGAAATTATTCATGAAGTTCCACTCCTGAGCATTTTTGAAGAATTTATCGTTAAGTTTTCGCAGATATTCCGCGATGGTATCTATTTTGAGGTCCTCATGGAGGAGGGTCTTGTTGCGGACATAATTGTGTGCGTTCGTGGTAATACGCAGGAATTGATTTTGCACGATTTGGAGTTTTTTTTACATCTGAGTCTTTGGCTGCCGCCCAAACAGAAGCTGATAAGTCAAAATAGGTCTAATTGTGGAAAGATAGACGAGTCTCTTCTTCTCCAAATCCAGTCTAGAGTATTTACCAAGTATAGGAAGCAAGCACTTGATAATTTTGAGTGCAGTGGTTCGAATATTATTGATATGGTTAGACGGTAAGACGATCATTAACCCCTTCGCGCCGACTGTCACGTATACGTGCCAGCAACGAACGCACTTACCTACCGGCCGACACGCAGGCGTGCCAGAGGATTGTTCCATTCTCTACCGACTGTCACGTATTTGTGCCAGTACTTTGGAACGTGTTTCAAATTATAATTTCTGTCACAAGATGGCACTGTATGTCCATATGGTTTCAGATACACGTAAATTAGACCTTCTACTCGAAATGAGAGAAGCATGACTCACATACACGTGTTTTTGATTATATAAACAAACGGGGAAATAAATGTTTCCGAATACGTGATTTATGACGTCTCTTTAAATCGCACTTTATTCGCACGTGGTAGTGTGTTACTGTAAGTAGAGAAGTTTTATTTGCTCTAAAGCGTTGGTATTTCGGTTTGCAGTTTCAGTTTTTAGAAAATAATTAGATCTTGTTAGACGTGAATTCTTTGTTTTTATCGTTGCAATGTCGAAGCGTCGAAAATGTTTAACAGAGCATGAAATAGCAGAAATGATGCAAAATATTTCAGATATTGATTCTGAAATTCTGATATTCTGATATTGATTCTGAAAGATTAACTGAAAGACATTTTCCAAAACTTTGTTCAGAAGAACTGATAAGAAAATGAGACGACGATGCTTCGTTGTTCACATTCCCGGAAAAATCCTCCAAAACGGCAAATGAGTTATTACGAGTGCAAGGAATGTAACGTAGGACTGTGTGTAGATCCCTGTTTTCAAATTTTTCATACGGAAAGAGAATTTTAAGTAATATATTTAGTTTTCAGATGTATAATGTTAAAATTCATAAATGGTGAGTAATTAAAATAAAATGTGTAAAAATATGCATTTAAACAAGAAATAAGGTAATTAAAGTATAATATATAAAAATATTTATAAAGCATAAACCGTTTAAATACTCTATAGAGCATTATTAAACAATGCGCTGATACTTCGGAAATTTCATGGATTTAGGCTTAGTAGCAAAAAAGCCCCCGGCCCCAGCGATAAGCGCGCGTTTTCGCTACCCGGATCGAAGGGGTTAAGAGTGACTCTGAGATATTTGGCACTATAGGAACTCTTTCATTAAAGTGGAGAAGATTTTTCTTCAGTTGCTTATTTCTTTTTCTTCTGCGAATGATCAATAATTGAGATTTTTGAGCATTAATCTTCACTTTCCAATTCGCACACCATGACTCGCCCTCCTAAAGAGAGTTAGTTACCTGATGTGTTTATAAAAAACAACGCCTCATCCAAGCAGTAGCAGTTTTCTCATTATTTTCCACTTATGTAGTTGCTCTTCTTTGTACGGATATAAAATTAAAGTGTCATCTAGTTTATCTGGTTAATATTGCGTTTATCTTTTTTTTTTAGTGTATAAAGAATTTTCCCCCCTCCTTTCCGCATGCCTTCGTGGTGTAATTGGAAGCATACCCGATGTGTACTCGAGAGGTTCAAGGTTCGAGTCCCGGCGAGGGCAGCTGCAGAATTCTTCAGTGACCTAACTTCGAATTTTAATGACTCTACAAATGATATCCAGTGCTTTTGGGTTATCAATGTAGTACTGTTGTAAAATTTATCATCTGATGGTACAGTAAAGGCCCAGCAGTGGTCGAGTGATAAAGTCCCTGAACACTGGTAGATCAGTAGAACCATTGATTCCGAGTTCTTAATCCTGCTAACGGGTTGGCTGCATGGACGTTTTTGTGGTTTTCCCTATGTGCAACGTGTTAATATGAGCCAGTTTCCCTTAAAAAGTCCTCCACGAATGTATTCCTTCTTTCCATATAGTGCCTTAGGGCAGGACACATAAATAATACACTACTGGCCATTAAAATTGCAATGCCATGAAGGAAAGCAAATACAAAAAATATATGTATTGTACGTAAACAATATGGCATGAAGATAAAATGATTAAATTTGTAAGCAGTTTGGGAGTTTACATGGGTGCGAAATTAGTAGAAACAGCTGCCACCCTTGGCAGCCAAAATGGCCTTAACCCCATTAGGTATGGAGTGGAACTGGGCTTGGATGACAGAAACGGGCAAGTCATTCCATGCTGCTTCAAATCTATGCCCCGCTTCATCAAACGCATTAGCTGGAGAGGAGTGGCGGGCCAGTCTGTGAGCAACCAATGGCCAGATGTTTTCAATGGGTGGCAGATCTGGAGATCGTGCAGGCCAGGGCAAAAATTGAATAGCCTGTGTATCCAGGAAGGTCAGAACATGAAATACAACACGTGGTCTTGCTTTATCTTGTTCGAAGAGGGCGTTTGGCAGGCCTCGAATATGTAGCACACAACCGCTGGACGTAAGATGTCAGAAATGTTTCGATCTGCATTCAAATTGCGGTCGATCCGAACTAGAGATGTCCGTGTCGTTTACCCAATGGCTGCCCAAAGCATGACACTCGGTGCATGTCCCCTAGGCCGATATCTAATGAAAAGAGGCGACGTGCTGTCTCCTCGGAGCCTCCAGACACGTATACGACCATCAGAATACTGCACACAGAGCCGGGACTCGTCTGAAAAGACGACATTGTGCCACTCCTGTATCCAACTTTGTAGTTCGGCGCACCAGAATAGCCGTCTCTCTCCATGCTAAGGGAAGCCGAAGAAATAGTCGCCGTGTTGATAGTCCTTCTACTGCAAACGTCCATGTATGAGCTGAAACGTATGAGCTGATACTGGGCGTACTGCAAACATGCGCATTTCCTAACTATTGTCCGTGATATTGGTTGTACGGTTTTTCAGGACTGATCTCAAAGTGCGTCTGTCCTCTCGAGCGTTAGTCATGGGGGCGTTGAGATCCTGCATGCCGTTCAGTATGACCCTCAGCAATCCATTGATTCCATATTCGCATGAGAGTAGTTGGATGTCGACCAGTGCGACGGGCGATATCACAGAATGATAATCCAGACTCTCGATACCTGCCTCTATCAAATTCCGACAGTTGCTTTTAAGCCTTTATTATTATTATTCGAGGCATGACACGATATTCTGACCAAACTTGTACCTCACAAAGCGCTTTCCGAATGAGAAATACACTGCACAACTTTTCTTTTATGCAGTGCTTTAAATGTCATTTATCTCTCTTGCGTCATCTAAATCCGCTGAATCCTCTCATGTGATTTTGACGTTCGTCGGATCATTCCTTCCTGGTATTGCAGTTTTAATGGCTAGCAGTGTAATAATAATGTGTGGAGAGACTGATTCATCCATTTGACATTAGTTCCTGTGAAGAAAACTGTTTCGACTTGCGAACATTTCGGTTGATGAACCTTGAGGAATGAATTAAGTTCGTGAATCGAAGTTTCAGTGAATGATGGAAGTAAACATAAATACATGTCTACTGCTATATAAATGACAAAAACGTGCTTGAGCTGAATCTTGTACTTGAAGCCAAGCTTAGGAGTTGAATGTCTTTGATAGAAACAAACAAATTGTATAAAATCTCCCTTATCACGCAGATAATTAATTATCTGCAATATAACTTAAATATATCGATGGTATCTCTCTCAATATGCGTAATATTTACCCAGAATGTACAAGTTATCATACATACTTGTCTACCAAATTCTGAAAGAAAAACAGTATATTTTGAACATGTGTATATAAAAATTATTTTCTTTAAATGTTTATAACGGATAAACTATTCATTGTTTTCATTTCAAATTTCAATTTTTCTGAATTTGTAACATATTCTGTAAATTGTGTTAAATTTAGTTGAAACCTTTGCGTGTCACCAGAGTCACGTGCGAAAACAAGTGGAATTTTAAAAGAAATCTTTATATCTTTGTGAATTTACCTTTATTTGTGAAAATTATATATTTCTTAGTTTTTTTTTTTTTTTTTTTTTTTTTTTTTTAATACAAGGTGACCAAATATATTTTCTTTTTGTTAGTGATTTTATTTTGAGCCCCTAAATGCTTGTTTGGTATCTTTTGTTGTATAGTGTCTTTACTCGAAATTCTTGCAGCAAATTTAGGTTTAAAGCAAGAAGGCAAAATTCTTGCTTTAAACATAAGCCCAGCATACACCAGTAAACCAAAGTCATGTATGTCCGATAACAGCCATCTCGAATGTGTTGTTTGGAAAAGTGTAGTTGGCTGTGATCATTCGATATATCTGTATTTGAGGTACTGAAAATCTCATCACACATCGACGCTCTGAAGTGTATATTAAGTAAAACGAAGTTTTGAGCATTTTACACCTGTTCTCTTTTACTGTCGTTACTGCAAACTGTATAACTAATAAGCATGCAAAGTTATAAGGTTATTTTCGATGTCAGGAAGCTGAAAAATCTGCTATATCGTCGCCGGGACTCGAACCTGGACCTCTCGAATGCGGGCCGAGTGTGCTACTGTTAACCTTTTGAAGACGGGATGGCCATTATAGTGGCCATAGAGTCCTCTCTTTGAAAAGACGGTGTTCTCCACTTTAGTGGCAACCATGTCTTTTTCCCCCATTATCCAGGCTAAAAAGTGGGGTGAAATGTCAAATTTGACGTTTCTAGGGTTTTAATCACTTGTCTCTTTCAAAGTTCTTCCTTTTGCGACATAGATGCACCCCTCTGAGAATCCATTAAACTACACACAATATTTGTTGCAAATAGGAGGTGATTTCTTAAAGGGGTTAAGCATTCGGTTCAAGATTCCCCGTCCTTTGGTAGCTATACCAAAACTCCGTCCTCAAAAGGTTAAACCACGAAGGCATGCAGAAAGGAGGGATCCTTTTAAAGGGCGATTGGGGATTAGAGAACCCAATCATCAAATCCTGGTGCTGAAGAATAATCATCCATTACCTTTTTTCATTTCGGGCGCCACTGTAGAGTCATTAGGATATTTTTGATGTCAGGAAGCTGAAAAATATACAATGCACTCGCCGGGAGTCGAACCTGTACCTCTGAAATACGCGCCGAGTGTGCTATTGTTACACCACGAAGGCATGCAGAAAGGAGAGAGGAAAATATTATAATAAGTTCTTTATATTCTTTGTTTTTTCTATCTGTCTTGTATTTCTAGTACCCTCGAATGTGTTTTCGGACTGCATTCCTATACTGTATAATTTATTAGTGTAGGCATAACCTCATAATTATACTCCCAAAATATAATTTGAACATTATGAAAAATGTTTAACAGCTCCGATTATTTCACCAAATGAGAATCTATTCTCCTACTTCTATAGTTTTTTTAATTCACAAAACCATCTCTAGAAGTTTTGGAGCGCTCTTGTATATTTGTAACAAATGGCAGAATGAGCATTAGATCTTCGTAAAAAGATTAGGAGAACCATCCTTTCAATTTCCTAAAGTTCCCGTTTCTAATTTTAATAATTCCTATTATTTCTAAGATGTTGACAAGAGACTTCTGCCGATACATTTGAACCAGTTAAGCGCTTGGCCCCTCAAAGCGCTGGTAGCTAAGGTAACTTTTTGAAACTCGTGCACGGGGTAGAGCATGAAGTGGTCATCCAATTTTTCCAAAAAACTGGTTACCTGTGAGTTTCCATTAAACGTTGCTTCTGGTTTCATCGAAGCGCGCATGGTCTGGACGATGTACCCAAATCCTTCCAGGGCGGCAGCTGGCATTTCTGGATTCTGAGCCTGTTTCTGCAGGCAGCACAGGTTCTTCTTGAAACTCGGCCATGGTTATTCTTCGTTCGGGCGCCACTATCAGGTTCAATGTTTCCTTCTAACCTTCTTCGGAAACATACAATGACCTGACTAGGAACAGAGAGCTTACTAAAGCTATGTTCACTAATTGTAGTAAGTAGACAGGATACAGACGAAGGGTATACAAAACCCTTTTTTTTTCTTCTATATACAATGACTTCCCGTACTTCGGAATACAATGACCCTCCACTCGGGGTCTAACGTAAAAAAAATATCAAAATAAAACTAAACTCTAATTTAACTTTAGAATAATAAACGTGGAAGATTGGCCTTATAATAACAGGAAGCGTATGTAGCACAGAGACTGTGAACACTACAATACGTTTAATTTATCAAGAGGATTAAAACCTCTGGCCTGGAAGGCAAAGTAGCAACTGCGTAACTTCTAAGGTAAGCGGCCTGCTTCGAACTCACTGCTTCCTCTCTTCTGCTTGGCAAAAAGGCCACACTTAAATACTTGGCGTTCGCCAGACAAACTTTGCATAAAACTCCTTCACGCTTATAATTCTGGCCGGAAGTAGAAAATAAGAAGTGATAGTAAAGATTTAAAATAAAATAAACGTTAGTAAAACTTAAGATCCTTACATATAAAATTTTAATTCAAATTGGAATAAACGCGGAATTTTTTCGAACAAATAAAAGAAAGAAACTGCATCTAAACAGGAGCTTTTATTCAATTCTGGTTCCTTCCAGAGATCTGGAAGGAAAACTAGTTTAATGAAATGTTACACAATGACATTGCAAATAACATATAGAATATACTTCTCTTAACATTCTTATTTCATTCATGACTATTTTAATTATCTCTCTCCCCGT